AATTAAAAAAAAAATAAAAAAAAAAAAGAATATACCAATAGTTCAAACACTATTTTTTGTTATCAATTACAAAATGCAAATAGATACAGAATGTTAGCTATTAGTGCTATTATATTAATCACAAAAATATAATGTTTGTTGCTTTCAAAATTCTGAATCCTAATTAAAAATATTACATCTATAAGCAGTGAGGTTTGATTTCAACCTCAGACGTCTCAGTGAATCAAGTATTGGAGTGGTTACGGTACTATGTTTATCTTTTTACCTGTATTCAGGCTGTCGGCTTGCGGAATGATCATCTCTTGTCCACCTGTAGCCAGATTCATCCTGTAAAATAAAAGAGCTCCTTAGACATTTGTTTATATTATTTAGGTCAAGTAGGATACATCTAACAGTACTACTGGAAACGAGTCTCTAAGACCAAAATAAAATGAGGACAAAAACACCTCTCTAAATCTGAGCTTCAAAGGCATGAAGAAGAAAAAAAAGATACAGCAAGTCACCCATATCAACAAGTGACTTAGCGGACTGACAACCTGTGGAACCATTTATCTGCATGAAAACGCTTACGGTACTTCTTTGGTAGGTCTAACAGCCTTATTGCCAAAAACATACACCAACATCACAACAGCTAAGGACTGCTATAAGAACAAAGGCTCAATTTAAATTTAATCAAGCACACAGGTCTCTATTTTCGTTCTGTCAAGTTCACCAAGTTTCAAATTCAAAACCAGGAAACATTTGTTACTTTCCCACTTGTTCAAATTTTCTTTTCTCATCTTGACTCCCATTAAAATCCATAATTTGGAAACAATATAATAGGAAACCATCACCTACTGATAAGTTAAATTAGAGCAACATGTGGCACTAAGTTTAAGATTAATCAAAACAAGCATTTTGTCCTCTAAAACTGATACATTTGAAAGGTACGTTACACACACACACACACACACACAGTAATCCACGCCCAATTACTTTAAAATTATATGTAGTACAATATAATGTGAATTATTTATAATCAGAAATACTTATTCAGCTAAAATAAATACTATTTTCATCTTCCTCTTTAGTATCATATACTGTACTCTTACATAAGAGTTATGTATTCATCATTTTTCTTCTCAATAGTAAATACAAAGAAACAAAAAACAATATACAAAAAGATAAAGAAAATCCAACAGCTCTAATAAGATACTGGATAAAGTTAGTTTATATAACTGAACTCAAGATAACTTAGTATCACGAGAGTTCTAAGGATCTCAAGTGGGGTTATTTTTGTTTGAAGAGAATTTAAAGAGAAAATGTTGCACAAAGTATGAATGAACACAATTTGTAATAAAAAACTATTGTTGAGGCACTATTATGCTACAAGGTTTTAGGGGAAAAAATCATATTCATGAGGGTTCAAATACAAATTGGTCTAATGAATCCAAAATTCCCTATTTATATTAAATGGCCACATTTAGTTTTCACAAGAGGGATAACAATCTTATGCAAGGCCAAATTTTTTTCTTCCTCAGACTACCTGGAAGAATAACTCCAAAGGCAAAGTCCAGTATTTCTAGGATAGAGACAATGCATAATGTTTACTTTTCGACACCAAATTCGTCTTCCTAAAGGAACAGCACAACATTTAAAAATTGAAAAAAACACGAATCAATTCTATGAGAAAGAAGCTGTGCACTCCCAACTTTAAAACTACAGGAAAACACTGAATAATCTCATTACTACTTTAGAATTGTTAAGAGTCACCATGATGGAGTAATCAGAGAACTGGACTTCCATACATATATACACACAATCCTGGGTAAATGACTTTAAGGGTGAAGTATGGAAAGTAATTCCAACAGCCAATGTGAGGTCAAATTTTAATATAAACGTTTGAATATGTACTGTAAATTACAATGGCATACAGTAGGCAAAGGGAAAAAAGAGAAAATGTAGAAAAACAGTCTGGCAGAGGAGTGAGGTAAACACACAAGCCAAGTCAAAGGAACTACATCAAGGAATAGTTGCAGTCAAGTTCAATGACAGATTGTTTCAACATTTAATACACATACTTCTAGAGTATTAAAGATTATCAGAAGAAACAAAATACAATAATAACAATGGTAATAACAGCTAACATTTAAAAAGTGCTTATTATATATAGGACAGTGTTGTGAGAGCTTTCTAATTTGAGTAAGTAGACTTTAATAAGTACAACAAAAATGAGACTAAAGTTCAACAACCTTAATCCAACCTCACCCACAGCGTATCATGAATGAAAATAAAGTAATTATAAGTGAGTACCTCCAGTAAGAGATGGTAACCACCTGCTCATCACTTTTTTGAGTACCAAGGCAATACATAGATTACCTTTATCTGCTTCTGCAAATTCTTTCCAATTTAGGGGATAAAAACACAGGTTAGTTGGAATTAATGTCATTTAGATAGAGCTATCCAGAATGGCTTACCCACTTTATCCCAAGATTCTCCACTACCAGTTCCCATTTGACAGCTCTAGCAGGGAAGTCAACAGAGCATCAAGCAGGAAGTGTTTATTCACCTGCCTTCATGGCCAATCACATAAATTTCAAAAATTACATGATTTTTAAACTTATAAAATATAACAATTAGTACACGGGGGAAATTTACATACTCCTCTGTGAGGTGGACCACTTCTTCGATCATGAGAAAAACTGCGGCCCTCGTCATATTCTCGGTAATCAACATGACTGTAATATCTATTGTAGTTTCCTTCACCAGGTCTGTCTAGCAGTGGTGGTTTCTTTGGCACAATATTAACTACTCTATGGTAGCCATCCTAAAACAGACAAAAAGAAATATATAAAAATCACTAACTTCTCTATTTGGTTTTGGAAAGGTTTTTTAAAAGCACAGGAGTTCTTATCCTTAATCAAATAGAGTAAATGTATAAACAAACAAAAATGCATTAATGAAATAACATGAATATAACTAATAGTAATGTTTTCACATGGATTAAAGGAAATAAAATTGTTCAATGAAGCCAGGTGCTTAAAATAACAAGTAGCAATACTAAAAATCAATCATAAAAGAAAAAATACATATTATTATTTTAATAAAAAATAAACTATGGAAAGAATGTTACATAGCTCTAATCCTAATTCCCTAAGAATTTTAAAAACAAAACCATTTAAGATAGCACACACCTTTAGTCTAATTAATGTGTTTGAAGTATACTATTCAGAAAAAATACAAAATCTTTACACTTAAGCAACAGCAAACAGAGACAGAATATTGAGCTAGAATCATCAAGAGGAAACACTGCTATTTCTCCAGAAGCGCTGGAGAGAAAACAGCCTTTGACTTCACAGTCTAGAAGCAAAATAAAACCCAATATAAAATTTGAACTCATTTTCAAAATAGTAAGTTGTTAATGTTTTAAAGTTTCAGCAATTAGGGGCACCTGGGTGGCTCAGTCAAACACTGGACTCTTGGTTTTGGCTCAGGTCATGATCTCCCAGTTTGTGAGTTCAAGCCCTGAGTCAGGCTCACGCTCCGTGTTGGTGGTGCAGAGCCAGCTTGGGATTCTCTATCTCACTCTGTCGCTCCCATGTGCTCGCTTGCTCTCTCTCTCTCTCAAAATAAATAAACTTTAAAATAAAATAAAGTTTGAGCAACTAAGTGGATTGGGGGGGGGGGCTGGGAAATTGAACAGAGGGAGAAGAGCACCTATGTTAGGTTAGCAGTTGCTGTGAAACAACTGAACAAAATGGTTATCAACAAGTAAGGACTAGAGAGTTACACGACATGTATTTATAAATAATCTCGCCTTGAACATTCATGGTATGTCTTCTACCAATATCAGAGTAAATATATGTGAAAGAAATTAGAAAGCAATCAAAGTATAAGCCATGATCAATTTAAATTAACTGACTGGACAAAATAAAAACATGAAGCCCAAAATAAAGCCCAACATTCAGGGCATTACTATACCATCTTTATGTCCAGTTTCATCGTCAATACAATAGATTAATACTATTACCTACCTCAAGGAGCTGTTGTGAAGACTGAGCAAAAAACATTGTAAAAAATTTAGTACAATGTGTAGGACACACTATGTACTCAAAAATATTTGTTGTTTTGATTACCTTTTTAATGTCCATGTGAAACACAATTCCTCAAAGTGTCTATTCACTTACATAACTTCTTAGAATTAATAACTGCAACTATTCAATCATTAAATTACTGTGTCTTATTCAAATTTCCCAGTGGGTAGGAAATTTGTTAATGTGCTGAGAAAAAATAAAATTAATAGTTCATATCTATTTAAGAACTAAAATGATCTAATTTTTTCCCATGGGGCTATAAGTGGTTTCTTTCTTTAGTATGTTAAATATTACATTAAAACATATATTTTAGGGGCGCCTGGGTGGCTCAATCGGTTAAGCAGCTGACTTCAGCTCAGGTCATGATTTCGCGGTCCGTGACTTCGAGCCCCGCGTCGGGCTCTGTGCTGACAGCTCAGAGCCTGGAGCCTGTTTCAGATTCTGTGTCTCCCTCTCTCTGACCCTCCCCCATTCATGCTCGGTCTCTCTCTGTCTCAAAACTAAATAAACGTTAAAAAAATTTTTTTTAATTAAAAAAAAAAAATTTATAGTTTACATAATATATAATAGATAAATGAACCCACAGGCTCTTATAAAAATTACCTTTCAAAGAGGTTTCAATTAAATCTAAGCAAACATTGAGCTTCTAAACAAATTCAACATTAAGCCAAAATCAGCAACATAATTTATAGCATTCTCTAAATTAAAATTTGTTATTCATAAAATTAGAATCACTGATTTCTACAATTCCAAGAAACCATACAATTCCATTCTATAACGTCCTTGTATATATTTATTTGGAGGGATGGTGGCCTAAGTATGCATGTCTAAACACTTGCATGAATAGAGAGCTTATTACTTTACATGCAACCTTTTCCTCTATTCAAAGTTATTTTAGGATTGTAAAATGCATATGGTAAAACTTGAATCATATTTAGTCATAGATTTAATAAACTGTTTTTTCCAAATAAAAATAAAATCATTCCAAAGTTGTTAATCAGCAACAGAAAAACAAAAACAAAAAAACTCCTAATGACAGCTCTGTATCTAGCAATGAAGATTAAACTCTTTATGTTATGAGATTGTTCAAATATAAGTACATTATTACCATCTCACCTCTATAATAGGCATCTATTCCTAAGGAAAATTCTATATTTATATGAAAAGTTTTAAGGAAATAAAGATGACTGGAGCAATCTGATGAAGCCAAGACTGTATTTTCAGAAAGTCCCTATCTTATCTAGGAATACCATGCAAGGATTTTTCTAACAAAATTCATGATGAGAAGCAAAGATTTCAGAATTTTTCAAAAGCTTTTTTTAATACAAAAGTTCAAACAGTATTTTATATTACATGCAATGCTGGACATGATTGGAAATACCATCAGAGTTTGAAATTCTCCTACAAACTTACATGGAGCTATAAACATGTAATTTTCCTTTTTAATGTTTATTTATTGAAAGAGCAAAAGAGAGAGAGAGAGAGAGAGAGAGAGGAGGAGGGGAGGAGCAGACAGAAAGGGAGAGAGAATCCCAAGAAGCTCGAAACCACAAACCATAAGATCATGACCTGAGCTGAAACTAAGAGTCAGAAGCTTAACCAACTGAGCCACCCAGGCGCCCCGTAATTTCCCTTTCTAGATGCTAACAGAAATACACAAGGCTTCAGGTACTGATACAGTTGGAGTCTTCATTTTAGAAATATCTTGGAAAATAATGGCACCATTATATACAAACCAGAAATAAAAACTGTAACTTCTAAAGACTACCTTAAAAGATTAAGGATAATAGAATCATTTTCAATTAATTTAAAAACAAACCCAATGGAATCAAAATATTTCTATTATTTAAAATGCAGATATTTCGGGGGCACCTTGGGTGGCTAAGTCAGTTAAGCATCTGGCTCTGGATTTCAGCTCAGGTCACGATCTCACAGTTCATAAGATCGAGCCCTGGGTGGGGCTCTGGGCTGAAAATTCCGAGTCTGCTTGGGATTCTGTCTCTCCTCTCTCACTGCCCCTCTCCCCACTTGCGTGCACTTGCTCCTTCTCTCTCTCTCTCTCAAAATACATAAAACATTTCAAAAAATAAAATGCAGGTATTTCAAATCTTGAGTTTGGACATATAATCTGAATTTACCTCAATGAAATCAATTTTCGTTGCTTCAGTTCATTATAAAAATTTGTACAGTGCCCCATTAAAAAGATCAGACCATATCAATTCAATTGTTGCTTATTTATACCATGTACCAATTTTCTATGGCTGTTACTAAAATTTCCAAAAATATGTGTAAAATTCTTTCAGATTTGCCCCTCCAAAATTAGTGTTAATGTTATGATCAGTCAGACCAAAATTAAAAAGTATACGTAACTCATTAAAAAAAAATTTTAAGCCTATTTTACTCAATCATGATCTATTCTCACAGGACGTAGAAAGCAACAACTTGCATATACATACTTTTTTGAGAAGTTATAGGTCTATGAAATTTACACATTCACATAGGTCCCTATGTAGGGGGTAAAACGATTCCAACCATTAGGGCTTCTGAGTTTCTGAAACAAGGATTGTTCACAGTTTTGCTTTTGCTAATGAAAATTTGAGCAGGTTAAGATACTTATCAAATTAGTTTTGCAATTTTTAAGTCTGAAATGGTGATTGTGTTTTGTTATGAAATAAGCAATTATTTCTTAATTTGCTATAAATTCCAATTTAATAGAACTATCTCTTATGACTAACACTTTCATTTCAGTAAGTAAAAGCACCAAGTTTTGTTTCATTCAATATTTAATGTCAAATTTCCCACACTAATGTTTAGTCTCTTTACTAACTGGGGGCAAATCATGAGGATTAGCATGTTTCTTTAAAAAGTTTTCCAACGTCAGGGGTGCCTGAGTGGCTCAGATGGTTAAGCCTCGGACTTCAGCTCAGGTCATGATCTCAAGGTTCCTGAGTTCGAGCCCTGCCTCAGGAGCTATACTGACAGCTCAGAGCCTGGAACCTGCTTCTGATTCTGTGTCTCCCTCTCTCTCTGCCCCTCCCCCACTCACACACTGTCCCTCTATCTCTCTCTGAAAAATAAATAAACATTAAAAACGTTTCCAATGTGATTACAATACTTGGCACAAAGTCTAACAAAAAACATTTAAAGGAAAAAATTTAATAGACAAGCAACTCCTCTTAAGCATCTTTATCATTTGGAGACACACACTAAACTATTTATTTACATTTGAAATAGGGTATCTTGGATTTACTTCAAAATAATCTGGGAGAAAAGAAACTGGGGAAGGCACAGACAAAACAAGATGGACCAAAAGCTGGTAACTGCCACTTTGGATGATTTGTCCATGGGGAGTTCATTTTGTTATTTTGTCTACTTTTATATCTGTGATATATGTCCTTATAAGAAAGTAAAAAGCAACTAAAACACACAAAACTACCAGCAAACTAAGCATGACAGCATGTAAATAATTCATGCCATTACTGCCTAAAACAATCAACTTAGTATGAATGCAAGCTTCATGGGCACAGACACCTTGGTCTTAATTCACTGCTCTATTCCCAGCACCTGGAACAGCACTTGGCACATAGTAAGCACTACGTACCTGATACACGTTCTACTGTGTTGTATCAATTTTATGTTACTTCTGGCATCACATGTTTTTTTACTAGAAAAGTACCACACAAACCACACATACCTAAAAAATTCTACTACACAGGCTGGTGGACTTCTTTCA